TGGTTAGCGTAATTGTTTGTAATGCTTTAAACTTGTATTTGTGGTGTAAACACTTAGTGAAATCATAAAGTGGTTGTTTTATTATTTACCGTTACAGAGTTGATACAAAAACTTTTTGGGATGGCATTTCTCTGGATATCTTGCAAGGTTAGTGATATTAGGTTTTTTAGCTTACATTTTTTGCTTTAAAATGACAAGAATGGGTTGTTTCTCTTGGTAGACTTCCATAAATGAGACAAAGGCCTAAATTATCATGGAATATGCCCTATAAAATTTGTTAATGCCCTGGTTAAACTGTTGTTAGTTTAGTAAAACCGTGATTGTATAATTGGTAAAATGGTCAGCTTTTAAACTATCTATTAAAAAAACTTTATTCACTTCAAAATTCTCAACCAACATGAACTTTTGATTTAGTTTTTTAACAGACTTTGACACAACAATATTATTTCGTAATTTAAATAAACATAACTTTCCCTGTCCACTGTAGGGGTGAATTAAAAACAATAACCATACAAGCATTTCCCTTGGGGAATAAGATGTCTTTCCTGCAGGTGGCGTATGGACACCATTAAAAAAAATCATATGCTAGTAAGGTATGTTTTGATGCTGGTTTGCTAGTTTATGCTGGTTATTGTTTGTCTCTTGCCGCTCAGACCAAATAAAAATAAAAATAATAATCAGGACATATTTAGTCCTCTTTTTAACTGACTCATTTAGATAAGTTTTTGCACAAGAATGGTCTGAACCTGGTATAAGGATACACAATCTGAAACTAACACACAATTTGACAGCAGGCCAGATTTAAAGAAAAGGCATTCATCTTAAGGGCAGCTGTGTTTATTTGCAGTTGCATTTCATTTAGTTCATGCTAATATATAAAGAAATATAAACAATTTAGCCTATGCAATTCATCTGCACTGCATGTCTTTGGACTGTGGAGGAAACAGGAGCACCCAGAGGAAACCCATGCGAACGTAGGGAGAACATGCAAACTCCGCACAGAAATGCCAACTGACCCAGGCGAGGAACAGCAACCTTCTTGCTGTGAGGCGACAGCACTACCTACTGCGCCACTGCCTCGCCTAGATTGTTTATTTTACCAAAATAAAATATGATCATGCCTTGATTTTAATTATTTAATTAGGACAGTAATGTCTGACTTTGCCTAGACAAAATTCTTGTCACTTAACAGAAAAAATGTACAGTATAAAATATAAAGTCACAGTGCAGTAGTAAAAGAATTGATGTTGTGTATGACTTTTACGAGCTTGGAGAACTGCATCCATACACCTCTGCAATGACTCAAATAACTTATTAATAAAGTCATCTGGAATGGCAAAGAAAGTGTTCTTGTAGGACTCCCAGAGTAAGTCAAGATTCTTTGGATTCATCTTCAATGCCTCCTCCTCTATCTTACCCCAGACATGCTCAATAATGTTCATATCTGGTGACTGGGCTGGCCAATCCGGGAGCAGTTTGACTTTCTTTGCTTTCAGTAACTTTGATGTGGAGGCTGAAGTATGAGAAGGAGCGCTCTCCTGCTGAAGAATTTGCCCTCTACTGTGGTGTTTAATGTAATGGGCAGCACAAATGTCATGAAACCTTAAGTTGTTGATGTTGCCATCCACTCTGCAGATCTCTCGCACGCCCCCATACTGAATGTAACCCCAAACCATGGTTTTTCCTTCACCACACTTGACTGATTTCTATGAGAATCTTGGGTCCACGCGGGTTCCAATAGGTCTTCTGCAGTATTTGTGATGATTGGGATGCAGTTCAACAGATGATTCACCTGAGAAAAAACACTTTTCCATGTTCTGCCACTTCTCCAAATGATCAACTATAAGTCAAGTTCTTATTTGTTGCTCTAACAACTGGGATCAACAACAAGACGTTTGTCAGGCAGTGTACATTGTTGACCATTTTAATGCAGCTCTAGCTTCAGATGTATTTTTTTTTCCAAAAAGAAATCTATTTTAAAGCATTATAAGCTATGAACTAGACCAGAACATAAATCACAGAAAGACTGACTCAATTCTATAATTTGAGGTGCTTCATGGAGTCGGGTGGAGCTAAAGATATCTGATTTCTTCTTTGATCCGCTGCGTAAAACATAAGTTGGTGGTTGATTCCGCTGTGGCAGCCCTTATTGATAAAGGGACTAAGCTGAAAAGAAAATGAATGAATTTAAACAGATAAAGATGCAACTCATGAACTCAGATTATGTCTTTAAAGCTTGTTCAGTTATACATAAAAATTATTGTTCATAAATTCAGAAAATAAAAGGAACTTTTATTTACAGAAATTAACTTGCGATTTAGAGACAAATAGAGTCAAATTATGATCTTTACAGTGTTTACATAACTTCATTTTGTATTTACGTAAAATGTGGGGGACGAAAAAAATACCAAGGATGGTGAACTCCCCTAAATACACTCAAACAGTTCTAGAGAACTTCCACTTTAAAAACAAAAACACTTCATAGTTGATTTGCATGTTTTGAATACAAATGTAATGTGGTATATTTTTGTAATTTATGTTTTTCTTGATAAGTTTTATGTATTTTTAATATTTAATTAAATTTAATTCAATATTTTATTTATTGTTTCCCGCATTCGCTTGGGTTTCCTCCGGGTGCTCTGGTTTCCCTCACAGTCCAAAGACATGCGGTATATGCTAAATTGTCCGTAGTGTATGAGTGTGTATGGATGTTTCCCAGAGATGGGTTGCAGCTGGAAGGGCATCCGCTGCGTAAAACATATGCTAGATAAGTTGGCGGTTCATTCTGCTGTGGCGGCCCCAGATAAATAAAGGGACTAAGCTGAAAAGAATATGAATGAGTGAATGAATATTTTATATTGACCTATTTTCATGGTCTGCAATAAAATCTTTACAAATTTCCAAATAATGAGATTTTTCAGCCTGATCTCACAAGAAAACGATCAAGGAATCTAAATATTTTATGTTTTGTCAGCTTACTGGCTAATTCAATTCAGTCATTTGAAAATGTATGATTTTTAAAAGAAGTTGTAGCACCAAAGCCTACCCCTAAACCCAACCATCATTGTGGGGTGAGCAAATCGTACTAAAACGTACGAAGATCCTACAAATTCTTATGGATTATATCAATAAAAAACAATTTTAGGCGTTGACATTAACATCCCCAAAATGTTAGTTCAAACGTAAATTAAAATTCTGTCAATACTGTCATTCATCTTCGGAACACAAATTAAGATATTTTAGATGAAATCAGAGAGCTCTCTCGTCCTCCATATACAGCAACAATACCAAGGTGTTTAAAGTTCAGAAAAGGAACCAAAACATTGTCAAAACATTCCAAACTCCAAAAACATTTTGTGCCAATAAAAACTGTAAAAACAGCTTTGTTCACCTCTTCCATATCAGGTTATGCTGTGTGTTTATTACATTTAATATGATTTGGTGTTGAGCACTACTAATACTAATGCAACATAGCAGGCTCATTCTGAAAATGTAGCTTTATATACATTTATGGAGATCAAGAATTATGTAGTGAGAAGTATGTATGGTTGCATTCTTTAAAACAAGCACTACGGGGCGATATGACACTGTTGCTTTTTGCCCTTACCAGGTGACCGTCTACCTCCATAGGGATGACTTTCCTGCTGTAGCCAGTTTGTCCAGTAGCTCGCTGCGTACATTGGTGGAACTGAGACACAGAAAGGAGTTGACCATGATGACGGGGATCGAGTCTGGCTTGGAACGGTTCCAGAAAGCGGGTAAGACAAAAACAAAAGCCATAAAATAAAACAAACAACTAATTAAAAGGGTGAGAATGTGTTAACATCTGAAAATGTAATGAAAATCGGGGGCTTTTCTTTTTTTGCATTGTTTTTGAATACTCTGTCGGTTGGGTTTAGGGAAGTGGGTGGGCGCTGGTCAATCTGTGCTTTTGAAAACACTATTGGTTTGGTTTAGGGAAGGAGGAGGGTGGGTCAGTCGATTGGTCAGTCAGTCAGTCATTCAGTCAGTTGACAACAGCCTCTGATAGATTTACGCACGAATAGCAGGCGCGAATGGCACTCGCAAGAGAAATTTGAGATCTCAGTAGGCATACACAGGGGCCCATTGTGGATTTACAAAAATAAAATCTGCAAAAACATACCTCCTAGGACATATTTGGTGCTCTCCAGTAATGTATATAGAGGTACGTTTTCAGAATGAGCCTGGGTTGCACTAATGGCAATACTTCATATTGCCCCACACCATATTGACCTGAGGCAGGAGAGAAGACATTTACATACTATGAATTAGTGGAAAACAGAATCATATTTACAGTTTTTTGGGTGCACAAACGTGTTCTTGAAGCTTTGTATAGTTGCAGTTGAACCACTGAAGTCACATTGACTGTTTTGTGGTTCATTTTCTGGATTTTAAACATCTCATGATCTAGGAGTCAATGAAGGATGAGAGAGCTTCTGAATTTCATTTAAAATATCTTAAATTGGGTTAATAAAATATGCATTCTTTTGGGGCGAACTATCACTTTAAAATGCAAGCTTATAGGTTTGAGAGTAGGTCCATCATTTCAGCAAGGTCCAGTAAAATAAAAATTCAGGCTCTGTCACTCACTTAGGATATTATGTGCGATTTTAAATGGATAAAGATGAAATTAGACATGTGCAAATAGTCCTCATCACAGTAAAAATAAACTTTTTTTTAAAAAATGCAGCATGATATATTAATCTCCTTACATCTCTTTTCTCTTCATCTATTTTGTTGTAACTTTTTTGGATTATGAATTTACCTAAAAACAATATTATTTCAAAAATAAAACTTAATAATAAAAACTAAAATAATATTTGCTAAAAAAAACTTCATTTTTTGTTTAAATTGAGTATTTTTTATACTGAGAGAGACGATGAGAGGAGAGAGTCGTTTTGTTCTATAGCATAACATATAGCCTATATGATATATAATATAGAGCGGGAGGGAGAGATATCTGGCCGTAACTGGAGCGGTAACGGAACTGCTCTATTGTTCTCGTTAAATTCCTTTCCCCCGCACTCTCTCGCGCATGCCAGTCTCCCGTTCTTCAGCAGGACAGACGGGGAGGCTGATGCGCTCGTACGCATTGGCTGAGCGGAGACCTCAGATGTTTTTTTAGCTTATATTTTTAGCAGAGGAGGTCGGACTCGTATTGCACCGCGCGTGGTAGAAGTGCAGTTCATCTGCAGTGCTGCTGAGCGCTGGAGAACCGCAGTGTGTGAACGCTCGAGCTCAGCATATTCAACGCGTCCGATTGACGGCCAATGCTCTGAAGTAAACACTCCGGATAGCTCATCTAGGATTTCAGTGGCCCTCTTGCTAAGACGCTTTTTATTTGGGAAATGGCCAGTTCTGGAGACGACTCGGCTTCAAACGCCCAGCTGGATCAGCCTGCAGAAGCGACCCCCGAATCAGCCTTTCAAGAAGCTCAGAAATGGATCGAGGTGAGTTCGCTGCTCATATAAGTAAACGATGCTCGTGTGTTTGTTTGCGTGCTCATATAAAGAGGTTGCGTTGCGTGTTGAGAAGCTTATTAATATTGCACCGTCACCTGTTGTGTGAGTGTGGCGGGTTTGGTTACAACAACGGGCTATGAAGTCCATGCAGCCGCGCGCGGGGATCATGTGCGCGGGATTCGGCTGCTGTAATCGGACTAGCGCGGCTTTAATGTCTCGCCGAATTTCTCTTAGGCTACATGTCATGACAGCAAGCAGCCTAATTAAATCAGATTTTATATTATAAGTATCCGCCAATCCAGCGGACACTTTTCCAAACAAAACATGATGCATTTTTGAAGAGGTGCAAAAACAGAGGGATGGATGCACGGACACGCCCCCATCAGCTAAGCGATTCCAGTTGTTGTGGAAGCTTAAAGACACGCCCCCTTGTCCTCTTACATTCACGCCCCCTTTCCAGTCGTCACGGCAGCGCGCAAGATCAGGCAAACAGTTTGTTTACGGAGCATTCGTGGCATGGAGAATGTATGTCTTATTTGACCCGATTCACAGTAAGGTTGAACATGTGATCGGAGATCTGTTTCATCTCTAGAGATGCCAGAGTTTAAGATGTAGGTCTTGGTATTAATATTATGACCCATTTTAGCGGTTGTGGATTGGACAGGGAGATTCCTCACGTCACTGAGCTAGATTTGAGGACTAGAGTCGTGTGCAGTAGAGTAGATCAGCCTAGTGTTGTGTGATGATGGACTCATCCTATAAAACATGAACAAATATAAAAAGTTTATGTATTACTTTATTTTGATGGTGCCTTTTTCACTGTCCGTTGACTATAAGTTATATTGCATGTACATGCCAAATAATTATTATTATTAGAGCTAGGGTGCCCAAACTTTTTTTATGAAGAGCCAAAAAATTAAACTGGATTGAGGCTAGTGGGACAAAGGTAAATATAGTTGTCATGAGTAATTTCCTAATTTATTTAATAATATTTAAAATGGGCAGTACGGTGCCGCAGTGGGTAGCACAATCGCCTCACAGCAAGAAGGTCGCTGGTTCGAGCCTCGGCTGAGACAGTTGGCATTTTTGTGTGGAGTTTGCATGTTCTCCCTGTTTTTGCGTGGGTTACCTCTGAGTGCTTCTGTTTCCCCCACAAGTCCAAAGACAGGTGCTTTTGATGGTAGTAGTGTATGTGTGTGAATGAGTGTGTATGGATGCTTTCCATTGATGGGTTGCAGTTGGAAGGGCATCCGCTGTGTAAAACATATGCTGGATAAGTTGGCGGTTCATTCCGCTGTAGCGACCCTAGATTAATAAAGGAACTAAGCCGAAAAGAAAATGAATGAATATTTAAAAATAACTAAAAATGTTTCTTTATTGTAACTAACACAGTATCATAGACTAATAATAGTTTTTGCCTTGATTTGCTTGTCGATGTCTTCTGCATTGTCCTCTATCTGTCGAGTCACAGTGTTTAAATTTTAAATAATCAGATTTATTTACAACATTGATTGAAATGTTTAATTTAAGTTAGTTTTTTTGTAGCTCAGCAATAAAACAAACAAAAAACGTTATGTCAAATTAGAAATGATGATCTCTGTCAAAGGCATTCACCCCAACCCTCTCCATCCTTCTCACTTTCTTCTCAGATGGGATGGTGGGCCAAATTAAAGGTTTTAAAGACACGCCCCCTTGTTTTCTAACGTTCACGCCCTTTTCCAGTTGTCACGGCAGCGCTCAAGCAAGATCATGTTTTTATATGTTTTCTATTGATTAAACTGGGCGATATGGTGGCTCAGTAGTTAGCTATGTTGCATCACAGCAAAAGGAGCACTGGTTCGAGTCTCGGCCTGGACCAGTTGGCGATTCTGTATTGAGTTTGCATGTTCTATCTGTGTGTTTTCTCCGGGTGCTCTCGTTTCCTCCACAGTCCATTGACATGCACTATAGGTAATTTGGGTAAGCTAAATTGTCCCTGTAGTATATGAGTGTGTGTGTGAATAAGTGTGTATGGGTCTTTTCTGCTGTGGAAAACATATGCTGGAATAGTTGGCAATTCATTCTGCTGTGGCAACCTCTGAAATAGAGACCAAGCTGAAAGAAAATAAATGAATGAACCATATTACATCATTAATGAATCAGTACTCCTGAATGAAACAAAATGAAAAAAGCTCATATCTGAAACTTGTCAACCTTGCTTAATTTTTCTTCAAACACTTTCTATTTTTAAATTCTATTTAAATTTTGATCAAATATTTGAAATCACTGGTTTGCACTAATTGCTGTGCATTCAGCCAGTATACTATATAGATAGCTAATGTCTCTATTAAAACCGACAAAACTAATGAAAGACATCATGAAACGTGTGCTTAATGCAGAGAAATGTGGTTTCTTATATAGAAATCCAATCTAGAAAAGCTAGTTTGCAATTAAGTCTATACTCAACCCTACTCACAACACATGCAAATACAGAAATGCACTGCAAATAGCACAGACAACAATGAAAATGTGTTGGGGGGGGGACCCAAAAAGTTTATAGATTGTTGTTAGATTTTATGGAGATGCAAATAGTACACATTAAATCATCAATCTCTGACTAAACATGTGCATGAAAATACTCACAACACATACACATAGAGAAATGCACTGCAAATAGCACAGAGCACAACGAAAATGTGTCTGGGGAGGCCAAAAATATTATAGAATGTTTGTTAGATTTTATGGAGATGCACTCTCACTGCAGGATCACCCCAATTGATCTAACATTATAGATTGACTTATGCCTAATGCAAGAAAAAAAACACACACATCAACCATGTTTCAGCTCGTATTCACTATGTTATGTGTAATTAAAGACAATTAAATGCAAAAAATTCGCGCAAAATACCAAAACACTTTAATAAAATTGTTATGAGTCAAACATGGTCTCTTATTCTGAAATCTAATCTAGAAAAGTAAACTAGTCATTCAAATGTTTATGCTACGTATTTGTAATTGTACATTTTTGTTGAACCAAAAGAACCATCAGTATATCCTTGTGAAAATATCCATGTGGTAATATTACAATGCAACCTCATGATATGATAATATACAAATTGCAATAATCAGTATTTCCTCAAGATAAGGAATTTTTGACCCACTTACAGTCACCATCACTGAGATCAGTAAGCAGACAGACTATAAATAAAGACGAAGTTGCCTTTTTTGTGAGTGCGTGGCATGTGTGAATACATTTCACAAATCCCACCAAAAGCGTCATGCCGTTGTCCATTCACACATTCTCTGCATTACCAGCCATTCGTCTGTCCTTCAGTTGATGCGTTTCACTGGAAGGCTCATGTCAGGAGCGCGTTTTAGGACGATCAGTATTAATAGACAGGCTGAAATAGCGTCGCACCCTGCTGGGCGCAAATAGTTTTAACTGAATTGGCACAGAGAAGAGACATGCTTCTTCTGTCTCCTGCTAAAAATGCTTTTCTTAAGTGAGTCACTGGATAAGCTATAACATTACAGACAAAAACATATGGCAGAATGAAGCTTTAACAGCAGACCGCAGTGCAAAAAAAAAAAAAAACAGCTCTCTTGAGACTCATCTATAGATCAGATTCTCTACTGAGATGAAGTTTTTGAGCATCTAACAATATTTTGAAAGCATGGCGGACAATATCATAGTGATATATAGGTTATTTAATGTTATATAATACTATAATATATATATATATATATATATATATATATATATATATATATATATATATATATATATATATATATATATATATATATATATATATACACAAGTTACTTAAGTTATTATGAACATAATCCCTGTATTTTTATTAATACCCTTTATGTTTTTGACTTTTCAGCAAAATTTAATATGACTTATTATGTTGTAGCGAGTAAATATTTAGTTAAAAGTAATACAATACAATGTATGGTATTTTGGTCATTTTAAAGTAATCATTCAATTATTCATTCTAGGGCTGCACAATATATCATTTTAGCATCTATATTGCAATGTGACAATCTGCAATAGTCACATCGCATGACGTCAAGCATTTTATGTGTTATTTTACATTTGATTACTTAATGTAATGCTGTTTATTTAATGTTTTATCGTTGTTCTACTGTTTTTATCTTGTCATTTAATTTATAAATATTTATATAAATAATTATAAATATTTAGCAGATTCAGTCACCTAAAAAATTATCCAGGTGTAAAATTACGAAATCTTGCCAAGTGCTTCTGAAATTATATTCACAATATACAGTTGAAGTCAGAATTATTAGCCCCCTTTTGATTTTTTTTTCTGTTTTTAATATTTCACAAATGATGTTTAACAGAGCAAGGAAATTTTCACAGTATGTCTGAAAATATTTTTTCGTCTGGAGAAAGTCTTATTTGTTTTATTTCGGCTAGAAGTTTTAAATTTTTTAAAAAACAATTTTGGGACAAAATAATTAGCCCCTTTAAGCTATTTTTTTTTTTTTGATAGTCTACAGAACAAACCATCGTTATACAATAACTTGCCTAACTACCCTAACCTGCCTAGTTCACCTTATTAACCTAGTTAAGCCTTTAAATGTCACTTTAAACTGTACAGAAGTGTAAAATAGTAAAATATTATTTACTGTCATCATGACAAAGATAAAATAAATCAGTTATTAGAAATAGGCTTCTAAAACTATTATGCTTAGAAATATGCTGAAACAATCTTCCCTCCATTTAACAGAAATTTCGGAAAAAAATTCAGTGGGGCTAATAATTCTGACTTCAACTGTATATAGGTAAAAAACAAACCATTGCAATGTCAGTTTTTTTCCAATATCGTGCAGTCCTAATTCATTCATTCAGATACGTTTAGTAATAATAATATGAATAATAATAATAATTCATTCATTTTCTTTTCGGCATATTCCCTTTATTAATCTTGGGAATTGGGTTGGCTAAATTTACCATAGTGTTTGAGTGTGAAAGAGTGTGT